ATACAGGAAACATTATCTAATTTGCGAAGGTTGAGCAAGTTAGTTGATCTTTGGTCTCAATCCTTAAGAACAATCCTGCGTCTTCGGATCCCTAAATTCCCGTCATTATTTCCAAACCCCAGTAAAATGACTCCAAGAGGGATCCTATAAGTAGAATCATGTGTGTTATTTGGAAGGAACATTCGGGAAAACAAATGGTTCGATAAACTCGCCGTTCAAGCTTCGGCTCCAAGCAAAGCTTTATCAACACTGATCGTTGCATACCGATATCAAAGGAAAAAATTGAATCATTTGGGTGTAGAACTAGCTACTCATTTTCTACCCTATGTAGGGTTACTTTTGGGGAGCATTAAGTAGCGTCCCTGATTTAAGGTGCGTTTATTAGCATTTAAGATGCTTATGATGGTCGTAACCTAATAAGAAGACACTCGCGTAAAACTAAGTGAATAGAGAAACAACATTGCTTACCGTTGGTGATGCGGAATGACGGGGCATTTGAGACCCAGATCCACTAAAACGGCCGGGAGAATTAGTGGTTAAGTNGTTAAGTCAACCGACTTGTTAAAGGCCAAGGCATCTAAAGATGCGATAGGCCAACCAGCCTGTGCAGAACAATCTCCATCACTGGAAGCCAATAGTGCACACTTTTCATTGGATTTTGTGCGACCCACTGGTGATGCATTGGAAGGATGATCTGATCCAATTGATCTCGGTGTTGATCCCAATTCGTGGGTTATTTGACTATGTAATATAGAGTTCACATTTACGCGCACTTGATCCAACAATTGATTACGTTTAGAGGATTCTAAGCCCAAAGTCTGAAAAATCAATGAAACACAATAAACTATCGGAATAATCATGCAAAACGAATAAATAGCAAAGTATCTCATCCCCATCAGATAGTACAATTCATTTGTTCCACTCAAAGATACAGTGCGCAAAGTGACACATTACACTCTTAGAATCCATGATTATTTGCAAGAATGCTATATACTATCAGCTATTCTCAACGAATGAACGAAGTCTACTTCCATATAGAAAGATTAACCTGCATTTTAGTACGTGCCTATTCCAGACAAAATCATTTCAACTGTGAATAAATTCAAAATGACGGCAAATCTATTTTCAAAGATTGTGAAGTATTTTTACAATAGAATTTTGGGGATCATACAACTGAATTGGTCGGACGACGTATAGAGCCTACAGCAAAAGTAAACTACGATACTGTGAAGCCAACCTTACTGTTCTTTCTTGAATAGGCATCATCCCCTTCTGTCAATTATTCGTGGCGCATCATTACTTTACTTTGCGTCAATGATTTTCATTCAAAAATGTATTTACGTCCTACGGTTTAAAAGCACGGTTAAATGATACCATTGAGATTTTAATTGCTACCTCACGAAAAGTTCCAGAAGTTAGATTGGTGATCTCTCAACAAAATAGTGGGCTCTACAGGCTCTGTAGTGAATATGGAGTTTATTTCTGGACAGCTATAATCTCTCATTAACTCCTGAATTTCCAGATATTGTAGTAGATGCAAGTACGACCTTGGAATACATGATCCAATTTACTGAAGGTATGTTGTACAGTGACTGCCTTTGGATATCTTGGAATTCACATTTCGAGCCATAGGATGAAGGTTCAGCATTTCGAGAATCGGTTGACCCACGCAATTATGATATTCACTCGAATAAAGTTTATTCCTATTTACTCCCTCCCCTTCCCTAGTTGCTTTATTGAACAAATTGGATTCTCTTCTACAAGATCATAAACGGTCATAAATGCTTCAAAGAACTCAGTTTTGAAACGATCGGTATTAACAAATACGCAGAAACGAAGAGAAGTCGTGGAATCTTGGGAAGTGATTTTTCGGATTTCAGGGTTTGATAAATTAACGCTATCTCAAAACAAGCAACGTATTCATCTTTAGCCAGCTTGACCAATTATGAAATTTCATCAGAGTGTGAAGAGTATAAGCTTGAATACTGAACTTTATTTGGAAAAATACGTTCCGTCGCTCAGGCTTATCAGAACACCATAGTGGCGTGTTTTATGACCATTGATTCCAGTTCTGAAAATTGTTTCCGTTGAGAATGCGTGTTTCACGTGCAAATCGAGTGTCACGACAAAACATATCTGTGGCCTGGAAACCATTCTGGTGTACTCTGAGTTCGGAAGATGCTACAAGAGTAGAGAACAAAACAAGCAACAGCGGATCTAGCGAAATGCTCCCATACAACCAAGCATCTCAAACAGCCTCTGTTGGGGACACCCTACTAACTGCCTTCACAAGGCGAGGTGTTTGGCAATTAAATTTAGAGGACGAAAAGCCAACAACCCGGACTATGACAGGGTTGGTGAACTACTGTTACCTCAAAGAGAGTTGGTTAAAAGGTGCGAAATGCATTACTAGTTGTGGCGATGCTCACTAGCTTGATATAGCATGCAGTTTTACTTCACCCCATCCAAAGGGTTTACGATCCTATGAATAAGAAACCGGTCTGCAATACACTGCAATCTTAATGCAAGCACTCACAAAACTGTGAGACAGGTGTTGGCTAGCCGAAGGCTCCAGTTGTGAAATCTCCGGGAAAATCTGACAACTTTGGCCTGATTCACCTTAAATATCCCGTCCACAAGTAAAGCATGCACCTTTTTCTCTGCCATAAAACTTTTTAACCATGATTTGTTCGGCACATAGTTTGGACTCGGAAAAAGGGTAGCCAATAAAATTATTAACCGGAACTGAGTTTGAACGTACGACATCCACCGTCTAAGTCTTCAAAAAAACCCGTCTTCGATAGAGTTGCTCTCTCTCCGTTTCGATTCAACTTTACCAGGGATGTGATTCTCTAAACGTCCCTGTCCTGGTGCGAGGATAGCGGTGGTAGACTGTCTACTCCGGAGTAAACAGAAGACAATATACTACTAAGTGAAGAAGAAAGGTAAATTGCAAGCTTTTCTGGATGGTTCGAGTGATAGTGTAGTCACAATCGGCAGGCGTTTTACACCTTCAAGGTTTCAGTTTCAGTGTCAGTTTTTACAGCCATTAGCCATGCACGTGCGGCAGAAAACAGACGGAGTATAATACCAACGAGAAGTTTAGGGACGATATTGTTTAAACTAATTTCTCCGTAGTTTTCACAAGAGGATATGTCATCCTTGTTGTAAATCGGTACGATCAGCGATTCACATCATTTCGTATCAAATTCCGTTGCAAGACTCGATTGATCCAGATCCCAACCTCACAGTAACTGGGGGATTAATAAAGGAAGTGGAAAATGTTTGGTTTTTGGAACCTATGCCTTACCCGGAGGCACACATACAGAGGACTTGATTGGCATTGTCCAGTTTGGCACATCTATGGCGCCGTCGCAGCATCCGGCTGTCTGTGAATGGCTCAGTGTAAGCTGCAGCAGTTCTGCTATTGCTGCTATACGGTGCAGAGATTTGGTTGCTACGGAACAGGATAAAGATTGACTGTCAATATTTGAAGACCCAAAATACACCGCAATACAACGGTGACGTTGAGCATAGGGATTTGGGTAATCGCAGCTGCCCTCTAGAGCCAGTGGTCATGGCAAATGATGGGCGGCCAAACGTAGACTTAGAACGATAACTCTGAGCAGGAGACTCAGTCATATAGAGCGCGTCAAGTTTCTAAATAGGGACTTCGAGACCAGATTAGCCGACGGTTAGATATGGCTGAGTAGTGGAAACCAGGCGAGTCACTGATCGTTTCCATTTTCAAGAAAGGATCTCGCAACGATTTCGAAAACCACCGCGGGATACGTTAAACCCGATAGACAACAGTGACAGCTTCGGTTATACTTCGACGTCTGACGCCTTTAAGAGACCAACATCCGTGAACAGCA